GTATTCAATATCATAGCAATGTTAAATAATGGTAGGAGTTCTACATAAATCATAACTACTCTGCTAGCAGCTAAATTTGATTGAACTATATACTTCTGCTGTTAATAAACTTAGAAAATATGTAGTTCTCAGAATAAAAAAACCACTTCGATCCCAGACGATTACGCCTTGTTGACGAATTCAAATCCGGAAATAAATGAACCGCTAGGAAAGAGCCTGTCAAAATATGCCACCTATGCCATAAAACAAATTGTCAGCGTGTCTTCAATGGAAAATAAATCGTTTGTCAGTGGCAAGGACCAAATAAGATTTGTGACGGTCATAAAAAGAAGGTGAGTTTGATAATATGAAATCTTCAGCTTATGATCGAGAAGGTGATTAGTCACAACAGCAAAAAATGCGTTTCTGTTGTGTAATAAAGATGCAACTTAATAGCAATGAAAATGAACTTCATAGCTACATCAAAAAATTTCTCTAAAACCTCAACATCAAAATCTCTCCTTCGCTAGAAGCAAAAAAGTACTTTGGAGCAAATGCAATGGTAAGTTTTAGCGAGGCATTCAATACAAAGACAATGATTGAAAAAAAATATCTGCCAACCAAACGATTGAAGCGAGTAATGAAGCGCAAAAGAGGAAAATACTCACCAGAAAAAACATTATCTGCAAACCGAAGTAACAAACTGCTCTTGCCAACTCCTAAAAAAATTTGAGTTTGTATACAAATTAGAAATAAGCTGAAGTATAATCACATTAAAGTCACATACCGCTATCACCGATGATTAGCAATTTGAATAAATGATCATAATCTCGCGGACCATATCCAGCCATTGGGCTGCAAGCCAAACCTAGTTACACACAACTGACCAACAAAAAAATTAGGTAAGGTAAGGGATGGAAGGATCGCACCATGACACCAGTAAAAAAGCTCATCATTTGTGTATTTTGTTGCCGTGAGATCTCTATACGAGGTATAACTTGCGACAAACATTCAAAAAATAAATATGAAACAGCTTTCTTGAGATTTGAGATTTTCACAATAAAACTGGCAGAAGTAACAAATTTAACAATAGAAATTCAACAGTACAGCTCAAAATCTATGCGCGCTACGGGATTAAATGAAGCAGCCCCAGATTTCCTGGCCAGGCCGGTGCTTGACAGCTTCCCATTTTGCTGACGTCGAGCCATTTCAGATGATGAAAAGGGACCCTTAAATATTAAGCACATGAAAAATGATCGGCGCTTCCTCGAGCAAGATATAAAGTCCCGAACTCAACCTGAATTTCACTCGATTCTGAGTCCTTGTACTCCCACTGCTGCTCTTCTTCATCCATGATTGACGAAGCTGCAGCTTGAGCAGATGATACTGTAGCTGCAAAATTTTTATACAAAGATTTACCATACTTTACTCTAAGAAAGATCAGTGTAAGTGCGAAAACATGAGTAAAACAAACCTGGCTCATCTGAGAACATGTCGACAGAGTCCACAGCCGTACTTTCCAGCTTTTTTACTAAAAACTCAAACTTTTCTCGTGTCCATTCATAAACATCCATCTGAAAAGATAAGCGAATGAGCCCTTAAGTTGATACTAGTACAATTTTCTAATAAGGAAGCGGTAAGCTAACGCAATGGCAACGTAGCAAAATCGAATAATTACTGTCAAATCCCACATCAGCCATCAGAGAGTAAAAACAACTTATTAAAATTTCGAAATTTTTACGAGCTTCGCAGATCAAATGCAGTTCAAAAATTGTTCTCAAGACCTGATATCGTGGTGAACTAATTTTTCTTGTCCTCGTTAACCAATATAACAACTGACAAAAAAAACTTTGAAAAATTTGACCGCAATGAATCTGCTCAAGATTTAGCCAATGATAAGAGCTTACAAACAAAAACGAAGAGGAATGAAACCTACATGACCAGCAGAAATCAATTCGTCTGCCAACCCGCTAATCAGTTGTGTTTCCTTTTGGGAGTCAGTTTCGCTCATCGTTTTTCCTTCCTTTTTGGCTTTCCATCTTAGCTTCCGCTCTTCAGCAGCGGATAGTCCTAAACAAGATCAGCTTATTGAGTGAGAGACTATGACCCGCACACATGCTGTGCTCACTCAAGGAAAGAAGAAAGAAGACTGAGATAACGACTGCAATAAAGCAGACCCTTCAAAACAACCAAAACAGATAAAATTGTGAAGAAGGAACTCTTGAGAAAATATTAACACTTCTGAGAAAATAATACGGAAAAATAAAATGATAAGGTTCGTGATGAGATAGAGATATCATCTCAAGTAGAACTCACCTTTCGCCTTCTTCAGTTCTGCAAGAGCTTTAGCAACAGTCTGATTGGGTTTCATACGGGAGATTAAAGAACTAAAAATTTCCTTTCGACGTATGTCATTGAGTGTCGGCGGGGCAACGTCGTCATCATCCTTGTCCTGAGATAAAAATCAATAAAACTAAGCAAAACAATTATACGAGAAATAAACTGGAATGATAGATCAGGTGGTTCTCCTGTTCTCTGTCAAAAGATTCAAGTAAACTATCACGCGCGATTCTCATTCACAAATGGCATTACGTCACAATTATACTCGGCTATTCAAAAGCACCTAATCAGATCACCATAAGGATAACCTTCATGAAAATGGAAATCAAAAAAGTACATTTGATTGCTCCCACTGGTCGCCGGCTTTCTGTTTTATGGTAGTCCAATCGATATCATCCAGCCATGCATCCTTGATTTCCTGAAGGAGAAAACCACTGAAACGATGCACACAAGAAGAAAATACCTTACTTTCTCTTTCTTATCGAATATAAAATTTCCTGCATCATCAAAATGTCCATCCTCCATATCTTCTTTCATATTGAAAGCGGTGATTTTCATGGAGCCGTCGAAGTCAAGTGTGGAATCCTCTTGCCCTTCAACCTTAAAAGTATAAAATATAAACTTAATAATTTTTACAAAATGGGAAATCAGAAGGATGTCCAACCTTTCTCATATCAAGTTTCTTATGATCATCTTCCTCCTCCTCATCGCTGTCCAGTGTGTGCTTTTTCTTCACATTTTCTTCATCTTCCTAAACTTGAAGCTGGAAGGAAAAATGCAACTCATTTTGGCGCATTCTGATACGGCTAATATTCAACTATGAGGAAAAAGGCAAATCTAAGGATTTTTCGAAAAACCAGTAGAAACAAGAGCAGCAAGCAAGATTTATAGCAAGTTCTTCCTTACTTTAGAGGACACTTTCTAGGTATGAGTGTGATAGTCCGCAAAGGGAAAAGCTTAGGTACTTGATAAAAAGTGATGGTGGTGATGTATTTTGGTAATCGATGAACTAAAATGCCAATATTTAAAAGTTGCCAATATTTTATGCAAATAGCGGAGAAAAGGGCATCAAAGCCAATGCTCCGTTGATGACGCTAGGTTATGTAGAGAGTGTGCAGTGGTGGAAAGCGGTAGACAACGATTGGAGCTAACAGGGTATTTGATTGTGGCGGGCTGTCTTCGATTATACTCGATAAAACTACAAACATTCATACTATTCACCACTCTGCTCAGAATTGACTGAAGAATTTAGTTGATAACCACGCAGCTTTCATGAATTCCAGCGCAACAAATTATTTGCACTTGCTCTTTTCTTCTACTCAAGCACAATAAGCTGCAGTTCAATCCTAGATCTCCATAACCGTCACATTATATGCACTTGATGTCCTAAATATGTCAATTGTTCGAAAAAAAATAATAAATACAGTGCGAGCTTCCTACACTCTTGACACCTTCTCGAAATTTTTGGTTTTCTTTCCTTTAAAAAAAATCAAACATATCACGTAATATATCAGCAAAAAATCACTAACCGGGATTTTGCTTGAATCATTTTCTTAAGCTTCCATAGCTGAAGGTTTTACCCTTCCCTCGTTCAAATAGTGTGACGCCTGCCGCTGCTATATATATATATATATATATATATAT